CGAGGACACTACTGAGCTACAAACCTCCCGAACGAACCTTGATCGCGGGCGACTTCAACGCTCACCACTCCTCTTGGGAGCCCGGTGTAAGGAATGGGAATCAGGGAGACGACATCGCAGGCTGGGCAGACGACCACAGTCTCTCCTTCATCGGCGAAATTGGCAGTGCAACCAGGATGGCGGACATGTCCTCGACCTCACTTTCTCTAATATCCTACTCGCACAAGCCCATATCAGCCCAGGCTTACACCCGGGGGCCGATCATGAGGCGATTGTCGCCGTCATCCCAATGTCTGACCGCATCACGATACGATATAGGACCTCCTCAGAGCTACTTTCAGTGCCGGACTCAGCATTACCCCGGCTAAAGGACTTGATTCGGGAAGAGGTCTTAGTGCTCCCGAAAATGGGGGACTGGCCTACCGCGGCGGAGCTTGATGAGCAAGCAAATCACAAAGTCAGTCTCATCACCCGGGCCATCCGCACGGTAGGTAAGAAACGGGGCAAACACGGGAAAGGAGCGCCATGGTGGACGGAAGAGTGCGCAGTAGTCCACAAGGCGTACCGCGAGGCCAGCAGTCAACAGTCCCACGAGGCGGAGCAGGACTCACGCATCTCTCTGCTGGAAGCACGAAGGGTTTTCCTGACCACCGTCAGAAAGGCCAAGCGAGCATACTGGACCGCCAAGATCGAGAACATCGCCTCAGATCGGGACCTTGACAAGATCATGGGATGGCAAAAGGCGAGCCCACTGACAAAAGCACCCCCGCTGGAGGTGGATGGCCAGGAGATTGAGGATACGTATGAGAAGACCGAGGCACCCCAGAAGGCCCTCCTGGACAGGTTCAGTGCTGTAGACGACCTGCCCGGAGACCCGTTCGACGTACTGGCTGTCTCAAGATGAGTGATACCCTGGCAGGAGACCATAGCAAAGAAGAAGTCAAAGCGGCCACCCTAACAAAGACAACAACTCCTGGCGTGGACGGGATCACGACACGCCTCCTTCAAGCCTGCAGGGACGCCGCGGCCGAGACAGTCAGGCTGCTGTTCCAGTCTTGTGTGAGGACGGGTTACTTTCCTCAGCCTTTTCGTAAGGCGGAGGTGGTTGTGATCCAGTAGGCGGGGAGAGATGCCTCCAAGCCTGGGTCCTGGCGGCCGATTGCGCTGCTCTCATGCTTAGGCAAAGGACTCGAGAGACTGGTGGCTAGGAGAATGTCCCACCTGGCGATTCTTGAGGGTGTTGTCAGCCCACAGCAGATCGGGGCTCTCCCAGGTAGGTCGGCGGTGGATCTGACGACCTGCCTCACGCACGACATCGAGATGGCTCTCCTCAAGGGGCTCACAGCCACACTCCTGACTATGGACGTCAAAGGAGCTTTCGACTCCGTCCTCCTGAATCGACTCGTCGTCAGACTACAGCAGCAGGGCTGGCCACATGATTCGGGTATGCGGACGATATAGCCATTCTGGCGATCAGTCCGTCCCTCGAGAGCAACGTGGCGGTACTCAGCGGGAGTGTAGCCGATATTCTCAGATGGGGCTTGGAGAATAAGGTCGCTTTCGATCCAAGCAAATGCGAAGCCATCCACTTCACCAGGAAACATGATCAGGCGGCGGAGCTGCCAGATGTCATGGCGGTGGACTCGGTAGTCAATGCCTCGACGAAGCCGGTACGCTGGCTGGGTGTCTGGTTCGATAAGAGACTGTCCTTCCGGCACCACGTCAACGCAAAGGTTGCTGCGGCAAAGAAGGCAGCTCAACATCTCAAGCACCTAATGAACACGAAGAGGGGGCTCACCTCGGCCGCCGTGCGCAAAGCCGTCGTCTCCTGCGTACTGCCGATCGCGCTATTTGGTGCCGAGACCTGGTACGCAGGCACAACAAAGCCAGCTCTGAGACGTCGAGTGAGAACGGACACAAGCCGGCCTCTCCAAGCACGAATCGTCAACACAGGCCAGAAGGGGCTTGTGATCAAGATCGAGAAAGCTATTACAGCGGCAGCAAGGGAGCAAGGGCTCTTTTACTCGTCTGGAAAACAACGCCAAGCAGCAGCCTACTTCAAGACGCCGGCTTACCGTCTGCCAAGGTCGCTCTTGAGGGCGTCCGCCTACGTACTGCAGTCCGCCTTCAGAAGGTCGACCACCGACATCCCGCAGTCCCACGACTCTCACAACAGGGATCGCAACAGACGAGACTACAAAGAACGGCGGAGCTTTTACCGAGCTGCGCGAGGCCTCTGTTTCAACCATTGCAGTATCTCCCATGATCGCAGGACCAGATAGTGACACAGTCAAAGCAAGAAGCAGCAAAAGCGTTGGAGGCCTGGATCAAAACAGTACCACAAAGCCACATGATCTTCTTCTCGGACGGCTCCAGGGCGACGAACGGAGCTGTAGGATACGGCTTCGTCATTTATCGAGACGCCAAATCTGTAGCACAGGGCTGCGGCCGACTGGGGCTGGCAGAAGTGTTCGACGCTGAGGTGGAAGGAGCGAGGGCCGGTCTACGTCGGGCTCTGCTCACTCACCAAGGTCAGCCAGTCCACCTATGTATCGACAACACCAGCGTCATCCAAGACATCCGCGGCAAGGTGCCGGACTCGTCGCAGGAGTCGTTTCTCGAAATTCAAGCGGCGGCCAAGATCGTCGACATACGGACGCACTGGGCCCCGGGACACCGGGGCATCGCAGGGAACGAGGCGGCGGACCGGTTGGCGAAAGAAGGCACGACACTACCGGCCCGGATAATCCAAAAGGCAACCCTGGCGGGCATTAAGCGGCTCGCCAGGGAAAAGCTGCCAGGCCACCACAGACGATGGTGGAAGGAGGAGCGGAGACTACGCTATGCAGAGCTTGGGCTTGAGGCGACTCTCTTACGCCCTCCCGAATTGGCCCCACGGCGAGCCACGCTGCATCATCTGCTGGCAGCACGGTCGGGTCACGGAGACTTTGAGCATTATCACCAACGATTTAGTTATGACGACGCTCTAACGACATGCTCCTGCGGAAAAGCAAAGGACGTAGACCACTTGGTCTACTGCCGATTGACGCTGACGAGGAGGTAACGGTGGCCAACCTTGCACCGTCCCGGTTCGCCCGAGCCCATAGAGCCGATGGGCTACCTCGAGCGATACTTCCGGGGACTCATCACCGACGCACAAGGCTTCGAGACCTTTCTCCGCGTGACGGACTTCTTCCAGAAGGTCTGCCCGCGAAACTAATACTCTAACGCAGGCAAGAGTCCGACTTAAAAAATACTTCTTAGTATAAGTAATAAGAGACAGGAATAGATCTGGGGCACTAGCGGGAATTAAAGATGAACAAAACGCATAGTAACCAAATAGCTAGACTTAAAGGACGGGAAAATAGGACTATATACGGTAGAGTAGATAGTGGCGGCTTACGGCCCTCCACGCCACATACCCTTCGGGAGGTCTGCCGCAAGGGTGACTGCGCCCTTGCTGCCATGGCGTTGAATACAACAACAACAACAACAACAACAACATGGGCGCAACTAGTAATTAGGATTGTTTTTCGATGGTCTTGAAAGCTGGGGTTCGGTGTAGATCTCCTTCGACATCAACTACCAGCCTTCACGGAGTTTTCGGCTAGGCTCCAGACCAAATAAGAAATTAGCGATACTGTTGATGGATCGTAATGTCTTTGGCTGAGGTCGATTGAATTTTGCATCTTGTGCAGATCCAGCCCTCAGATGTCACGCCTTCTGCAAAGTACTGGCAGCCAGGCATGTTTACGATTCAATTCCGTTCTGCAACGTCAGCACCGCCTTGAGCGACATTCTTTAGGTAAAGACTCACTTCTCGTAGCCGGGGAGTTTAGTCGAGGAGAGGTAGGATCGCCACCTGCGTTGTCACAGGAGAGGTGGGCTGAGTAGAATTCATATGTAGTCCAGAGGTGGCGAACATTATGTGCATGTGACTCGAAATAGGATCGGTTAAATGCACTAATGAAAGCTCAAGCGCTGCGAAACAACCTTTTTACGGGACCATTGGGCCTCAAGGTACTACGAGGCTATGGACCCGACATTTCAGATACATCATTCAATGCTTGTTTTGCCACCCTCAATGTGGAAGGCTTGCATCAACAACGATGGCGATAACAGCCTCCAACGACGGACTAGTCGGTATCTTAGCGACACTGGAGTCTTTGGCCTGGAAGATCAGCACATCGGCAAGATGGTTCAAGAGGTGGATGATCTTGGGCTCTCTGCCAGCCGCGAAGGTTGGAACTTTTTCAGCTGACATGATTAATGGAAATTCTGTGACAAATAAAGAAG